GGAAATCGGGGTAGAAAAGGACTGGGTTTTATTTAGGGGCCGTTGAGGCTTCACGACCCATACCATGGAAAACAGAGGAGCCGTTATGGGTCTCTCAATGGCCTCTATCCTCTGAAAAATTAGAGGCTGTCACAAGATTAGTGCAAGAACAGGAACGGCTGGGGCATCTAGAGCCTTCTACCTCCCCATGGAATACACCAATTTTTGTTATTAAGAAGAAATCTGGGAAGTGGAGATTACTCCATGACCTGCGGGCCATTAACAATCAGATGCATCTTTTTGGCCCTGTTCAAAGAGGCCTTCCTTTGCTTTCTGCACTTCCTCAAGATTGGAAGCTTATTATTATAGATATTAAGGATTGTTTCTTCTCTATTCCACTTTACCCACGGGATAGACCAAGGTTTGCCTTCACTATCCCTTCTCTTAATCATATGGAACCAGACAAGAGATTTCAGTGGAAGGTACTGCCGCAAGGCATGGCCAATAGCCCAACAATATGTCAGCTGTATGTGCAGGAGGCTTTGGAGCCAATTAGGAAGCAATTTACATCTTTAATCGTTATCCATTATATGGACGATATTCTTATTTGTCACAAAGAGTTAGATGTTTTACAAAAGGCTTTCCCCATGCTGGTGGCTGAATTAAAACAGTGGGGATTAGAGATTGCCTCAGAAAAGGTTCAAATTGCAGATACAGGCCTCTTTTTGGGCTCAATGATTACTCCCAAAAATATAGTTCCTCAGAAAATAGAAATTCGCAAAGACCACTTACAAACATTAAATGATTTTCAGAAACTTCTGGGAGATATAAATTGGTTGAGGCCCTTTTTAAAAATTCCATCTGCTGATCTAAAACCCCTCTTCGATCTCCTGGAGGGTGAGCCTCATATCTCCTCACCCAGAAAATTTACCCCTGCCGCCCACCGAGCCTTACAGATGGTGGAAGAGGCCTTACAGGAAGCACAATTACAACGTATTGAGGAGTCACTACCTTTTAATCTGTGTGTTTTTAAGACAGCTCAATTGCCAACTGCAGTCCTGTGGCAACATGGACCATTACTTTGGATTCATCCAAATGCTTCCCCTGCTAAGATTATTGACTGGTACCCTGATGCTGTTGCACAGCTCGCTTCGCAGAATAAAAGCAGCTGTTACACATTTTGGCAGGGATCCTGATTCCTTGATTGTGCCTTATACTGCTGCACAAGTTCAGACCTTGGCAGCCACATCTAGTGATTGGGCAGTTTTAGTTACTTCCTTTTCAGGACAAATTGATAATCATTTTCCAAAGCATCCAATTTTACAGTTTGCCCTAAACCAGGCTATAGTGTTTCCACAAGTGACAGCTAAAGACCCACTCCCAGATGGGACTGTGGTGTACACTGATGGATCAAAAACTGGTATGGGAGCTTATGTGGTCAAGGATAGGGTTATGTCTAAACAATATAATGAAACTTCACCTCAAGTTGTAGAATGTCTGATAGTACTGGAGGTTCTTGAGGCTTTTCCAGGACCCCTCAATATTGTATCAGATTCCTCTTATGTGGTTAATGCAGTTAATCTCCTTGAGATAGCTGGAATAATAAGATCCTCCAGCAGAGTTGCTAACATCTTTCAAAAGTGGAACGTGCCCATCGTACACTCAAATCATATCTGATTAAACAAAAGGGGAGTATTGAGGATGTTCTACCCTCAGTACCAAGAGTTGCTGTGTCCATGGCACTTTTTACCCTTAATTTCTTGAACTCTGATGCCCAAGGCCACACTGCGGCCGATCGCCACAGTTTAGAGCCTGATAGGCCAAAAGAATTTGTAAAATGGAAAGATGTGCTAACTAATGAATGGAAAGGCCCGGATCCTATTCTTATAAGATCCAGGGGAGCTGTGTGTGTTTTTCCACAGGAGGAAGAAAACCCCCTGTGGATCCCTGAAAGACTCACTCGAAGAGCTCCTTCACAACTCCAGAATAAGAAGGATGGAGGCCAAGTGGGTGATGAAGGCTCTCCTACTCGGGATGATGGTTCCTAGTGTGCCAGTGATGCAGAATGCCCAGGTGTTCCCTAGATTTTTCACAACTAATAGAGAGTTGGGGCTTGCCTTTTTGCCTTTAGATCCTCAGATACAGAGTTTTCAGGATGAGAGAACCTTGTCATTAGTAGGAAGCTTGTGCTTTACTGTGATTTCTTCATTAAAGGATAATTTTATTCATATGGATCCAGAAAGATCTAATGCTAATCCTTTTGAATTAATGGAAGCTGTACTGATCTTTCTCCTATGATAGTGAGAAGGGACAGATTACTTTTGATTGGAAAGGGGCATTAGGCAACAGTCTGAGTGAGGGACAGAGCTATGGATCATCTGATTTGTCCTCCTCCAATGTTAAGTATACCCCTTTTAAGAGAACTAATTATTCAGCTGCCCTTTATTTGGGTTGTGAGTAATGATACCTTAGGTAAGAATCAGAAAGAAATAAATTGCTCTGCTTAGAATTGTTTTTATGCATTATGCTGGGATGCTATTAAGCACCCTTTTGCTTTGGTAATGCGCATGCCTCGATTTGTTCCAGTTCCTGTTGAGACGCCAAGTAATTTGAGTTTGTTTAGGGAAAAGCGAGATTTTTGGGATCTCTGCTATTATTGTGGGCCTGATAGCCACCGCCGCGGTTACTGCTTCGGTTACCGCCTCGGCCCTTGCACTTTCTGTCACTATGCAGACAACTCAAACCATTAATGAACTATAGGCCACTGTGACCATGGTCCTAGATAAACAGGCCACTGCCAATTCTCAGATACAAGGAGGCCTGATGTTGGTAAACCAACAGATTAATTTGGTTCAGGAACAATTGGATATATTGTGGCAGATGGCCCAATTGGGATGTGAACAAAAGTTGCCTGGCCTTTGTGTCACTTCAGTACAATATGAGAATTTTACAAGAGCAGCTAACCTGTCACAAGCTCTGTCTCAACATTTATTACAGAATTGGACTTTTGAGTTTGAGCAGACACTCCGTGAGTTGAGAATGGCGATCCTGCAAGTGAATTCGACGCATCTGGATCTTTCTCTGATGGAAGGCCTCTCCTCCTGGATTTCATCTGCATTTTCTTATTTTAAGGAATGGGTGGGGGTAGGATCATTTAGCCTAGTTCTCTGCTGTGGAATAGTGTTGATGCTTTGGATGGTGTGTAAGCTCAGAGCCCAAACAAAAGAGACAAAGTGGTGGTGGCACAAGCACTTGCTGCCTTAGAACACGGAGCCTCCCCTGACATTTGGTTAACCATGTTAAAGCAATAGGTCGCTGGCCTCCCGGCTCTTGCACTCCACGAGGCTAGTCTCATTGCACGGGATAGAGTGGGTAGGCTTCAGCAGCCCAAGGAGTTGCAAGGCTAAGCACTGCACAGGAGAGGTCTGCGGTATAACGACTTTCTCCTGGGAGATAAGTCATCTTGCATGAAGGTTCTATGTCATGATCTCCTTCCCCCAGAAAAACGACATCGGACTGGTCAGGGCTCTCTCTGGGGATAAGACCCTGGAGAGGAGCTTTGTACATGTTCCGAATTTGCACATGGGGATTTGACCTCTATCTCCACTCCAAAGTTGTGGGTGTCCTATTGCTTCAAAAATAAATGAATAGGGGAGATGTGAGGAGCCGCCCTCGCTATCGCTATTGCCGTTAGAAGATGGCGCTGACATCTGCTGTCAGTTGGAGTTAACCGTTAGAAGATGGCGCTGACATCTGCTGTCAGTTGGAGTTAACCGTTTAAGCTGTGCCTCTCCCGTGGCGTCATCTGGAGTGATGTGCAAACCACCAATCCCGGCTCTACACGTCTCACTCGGAGCTCCTAGGCTTATATAAGGGGCTGGGTTTCTTAGCTTGGGGTCTCCCTCTAAGAAGCTGATCATCTATCTCTCAAGATGCATTAAAGCTTTACTGCAGAAGGATCCGAGTGTTCTGCGTCGTTCTTGCTGGCGAGACGGTAGCGTGGGACAGGACAGCACCACAGAGAGAGGTAATATCAAAACTGGCATTCATGTCCCGTAACTTCTGATCCTGTGTTCTCACATATTGCTCAATCCAAATTTGTTAATGTTTCCTAATTTCCAAAGATTTTTGTATCTCAAATGTTTAGATGAACAAGTTAAAATCCTTGGCAGTGGATTGAGATAGAGAGAAAGAATTTCCCAGGAGGTGTCTGAAGCGCAGCACAGAAAAGACAGAGACTGAACAGAGCTCATCTCTGTAGGAAGAGAGTGGCTTGTATTTTATTGGTAGATATGATGTGAGTACTAGTCTGTGGATAAATAAAAATGTTGTGGCCCGATAATGTGTGTGTGTGTGTGTGTGTGCTTGTTTCCTTCCTTTTGGAGAAGGATGTCTTTCAGCCTAGTCTGCTCACAAACTCACTAAGTATAGACCTGCACTACAGTCCTATGGCTTCTATCTCCACTTTGTAGGGTTCCATATCTGTCTCAATATTTCAGAAATCATTGCTGCCCTGTGGATTTAACTTTGCTGGTCATTCACTTCTAGTACTTTTCTTCCACAACAGTTTTTCTATGGCACTTTAGAATGGGGGAAGTTGATTAAACTCAAAATTTGAGGATTAGCCTCAATAATTTAAAGTTTGCTCTGGACACAGGAAAACCTGAGCTCCTGCACAGCTCGGTGTACTCTTCTGGTTAATCTCACCACCCACACCATCAGATTATTCTCCCTGTTGTGTCATATATTTTCTACTTTACATATAATCTTTGTTCTCT